AAATCAGAAGCTCCTAACTGATAATCAAACGAACCTTTGAATCTCAAACGTGCAATCGGATCAAATCTCATATCCTCGATGTGACCAAATGCTAGGCAACTAAATATCCGACGCAACCCAAAATCTGAAGTAGTTCCACCAGATCCAAAATATTCACACACGCTTTGGAGGGGGTATCTGTAGGCATCGAAAATTGCCTATAGGTCTCCACGAACAGCTCAGTGTTAAGAAATGACGATGAACGTCACCATCTGGTTCACAGAAGCTTGATTGATGTCGGTGAACGCTTGAAGTAAACCGACGAACTACGTGAAACAACGGAACTTCGGAATGATGAAGATATGAACCGATCGGGAACCTCGTATCGTTCACAAACGGCGAAATACCCTTTGTGTCTCATTTATTCCACGGATGATTTAATCATTGGAGCTTATAGAACTCCTAGTCGGCTTTCCAACGCACTTTAAATCACTCAAATCCGAGTTCAGACGAAGAATTTACGGCGAAAACAATCGAACAGGCATAACGAGAGTCTCAGGCTAAACTGAGACACCCGAAGTGTCTCGGCCCAAGCTGAGACATCCTTGGGTGTCTCGGCCCTGGTTGAGACACCAGAGGGTGTCTCCAACTCAGATTCGTCCCGTGCCTATAAATACAAGCCCCGGAGCCTCATTTTTTCAGATCTGGAGTTTTAGAGAATTGGCGAAGCCCTGCCGGACTGAAGAGTGATCGAGTTCTTCAACGCAAGAGATCGAGAGTCGTCAGATCTGCATCACCCGTATCCGATCCTTAGTATTATCCCGTTGTGATAATTCTAAGAAGAGCAATTATCTCGCTGTTGTCGAGATAGGCGCTTCTGCTTCTAGATTCCTTCGCGGATCGACGAAGTTCTGGACCTGATCTGATTGCCAGGTAGTCCACGGATATCAACGTCCCCGTTACCGGCTAAAGACCCACGCAAGCAAGAAACGACGAACGGATCTTGCGTTATTTTCGAAAAGTTGTAATCTTTCATTTTCTTATTCTTTTTATTGAATATCTTGAATTCTTTATAAGCGATCCAGATTATAATGAATTCGACAATGAAGGCAACTTTCTCCGAAAACAGTAAGCAATTTCAAATGGTTTTCATCAAAAAAATGTAGGTGATAACCATCAATTTGGGCAAAAGTTTAGATGGTTTTGATGTAAAAATCCTTTTAGTTTTGAGTTTTATTGGATTAAACCACCTCCCATGTATTCAGCATGCATAAATGCATGTAATACTAAATCATATCTTGCAGAGTCATCGTGTGGACCCTAGGACCAGTAAGTCATGGGCCCACCACGCTTCTGCTGCATAAAGTTTTGATAAAACAGGCATCTCGGTGACTTGGTCTGTGGCCAGCATGCATTATACATCGTGGAAACGCATGAAACACTACTAATTACTTACCTTATTTTATTTTTTGAAGTTCCATTATAAAGGTGAAATATGAAAATATTAATTTCTTTATTATCTAATTCTTTATATTAATTATTGTTATGTAGACTTGCTATCAATGAATACTATAGATATTTTGAGTATATGACAATAAGGTCTGGCAAATAATAAAAATTAGAAGGCGGATAATTTATAGGAGATAAACAAAAGGAGAGATGAAATTGGAACTCGCCTCAACCCCCACCCCATATTTCATCCAAAATTGTTGTAAGCCGTAAGGTACGTTCTTGAGTTCTGACTTTGAAGAAATATTGAGAAGAATTCCTACAGCTAGTTTCACTAATGCCTTATTACATATTATAATATATTCGATAATTTTTGTATTTGGTACACAGAAATGAGAAGCGAAAATGAGTATTTCATTTCTATTTATTCTCTTTTTGTATTTGGTACAAAAAAATGAAAAACGAAAATAGGTATTTCATTTCTATTTATTCTCGCATACCAATCCACACGTAACGATAATCTTCAACCAAAAGAAAATATCAAGAAGAATAACAAAAGACTCCAACTAAGATTTAGAGAGAAGATCAAAGCACACGACAAATATGAAAAAAATTAAATATGAAAAAAATATATTCAAGATAGTTGGTCGCAAAGAAACGACGATATCTCCCAATCCGGAAGGCGGAATTTAACATATAATATATGAAAATCACTTATCTCGACGAGAAGAAGTCAACTGCGAAGTCAAAAATTTTATTGGAGCATCGATGCTAGCATCGATGCTCTTATCGATGCGTGCATCGATGCCTGTATCGATGCGAAGTCGTCCAGAATTCATCAACGGTCGAAATTGCATTCTTAGGGCTCAAGTTTGATCCAAAGGCTCTCATTCACTGATGTTTACTATAAATAGGGGTAGAGAGTGAGGGGTCAAGTTTGATCCAAAGGCTCTCATTCACTGATGTTTACTATAAATAGGGGTAGAGAGTGAGGGGTTAGATGTGTGAAAATTTTTTCACTGATGTTTACTATAAATAGGGGTAGAGAGTGAGGGGTTAGATGTGTGAAAATTTTTGTAACTCCATAATAAGAGGAGAGAGAAAATTGATATCTAGAATTATTTGATAAGGTGGTTTTGTGCAAAAAAATCCTGCCAGCTGGACATCATGTGATGAGAAAACTGGCCGGAAAAATCAATCCAGCCAAACTTAAGGGGTATATGACGCCAGAGTCTATATAATTTATCAATTTGTCAAAAGTGAAAAAAATATACCAGTATATGACCGAGTGTCTACAAAATATACCAATTTGGTCATTTTACCATAGATTTTTTACTAGTTTGTGGTCCGTGCAAAGCACGATGATAAAATTTTTCATGCTACAGCAATCATGTTTCTTAAATGTTGCAGTAAGTTTTTGAATTGCTACAATATCTCGTATTTTGAAAGTGCTACAGTATTCGCGTGTGCTACAGTGATAGGGTCAATGCTCATAAAAGCAATCATAAGTTCCTTGGATTGCTACAGTACCTCGCATTTTTTTGAAATTGCTACAGTGTTCCAGTGTGCTGCAGTGATAAATCCACTGTTCGTGTTGAAAATTACTGTAGCATGGATAGGATTTATCTGATCCTCCTATTTGTATAAGGGATAGATCTGCTGAGCTGTATGAATGTAGGTCATGTCTCTCAAAAGGTAATAAAGATCATCTTGAACTATTCAAATCCCTTGAAGCTTTCCATTATTAGCTAATTGAAGAGTTGAAGCTTGGTTAATAAATGAAAGAGGTTGGAGAGGGAAACCCAAAGGAGGGAATGGATGTAAAAATGAGAAGACGGAAGAAAAAAGGGAGTTGTTGATATAAATAGTAACTGAAGCATTCATTCACAAAGGACAATATAGTACAATCTAGATCCTCAGTAAAAAGCAAAAGCAGAGAGAGAGAGAGAGAGAGACCGGAGAGAGAAAGAGGTTTGGCTCCATATTCAGTCCTTTCTCTCTTTGTGCTGGACCAAATTTATTTTCTATCTTCCTGTTCATTTGCAGCAGCAAGAAGAGAAGAAACTATCAGCACTCTGAGAACTGGGCAGATTGTCTGATTTTGGTAAAAATGTGGGAGCGCCACCCCCCCCCCCCCCCCCCCCCCCCCCCCCCGGTTCATTTTGTTGAGACTCAAGGGGCTTTTGCCTATTCATTTGAGAATTTGAGGATGTGGGTATTATGGGTAGAGTGATCTTGGTAATGGGTTTTGAATGTTGGATGTTTTGATGTGGATCTCCTGCTGCAAATTCTATGATACTTGTTCTTTGAGGTTAAAAGTTAGATTTTTTTCCCCCGCAATTTGGTTGATATGGGTATTTCAATTTCTTGGTTTTATTGGGAAACAAATCATTTTTTTGCCCTTTTTGTTTGCAATCTTAATCCAGTTGTCTATGTGATTGTTTGGAGATGAGGATTTAGAATGTGAGAGATGGTCAGTCTGTAGGTTTATTCAATTTTGGTAATAATCCATTGAAAAAATTGATGTTTTTGGTTCGAGTCATCATTTCCTATTGAGCTTTCCTTCCAATGTGATTCATGTTCGGGATCAATAATTCTAGTTCTGATACTTCTCTATCCAGATTCATTTTTTTGCCCCTAGTGCTGAAGTGCGCTGGTATATGTGGACTTTGATTTCTAGGTTGTTCTCTTTGAATTGTCTTTGACAAGTAATTGGGACATTGGAGAGTTCAATTTTGGTGGCTCACAATTCATCTGGTTGAGTAGTTTGAAAGATATTTATTGTTTTGAGACTTCTGCGGTTTGTCTATATATTTCAATTAATGATTATTTCGATATTAGCCCCCAAATCTTCAATATTTTGATATTAGCCTGCTAAATCTTTGAAATTAATCTCACGCCCCCCAAAATCCTTAATATTTCGACATTAGCCCCTCAAAATTTTGAAATTGACCTCGGCCCCCATATCCTATTAGTATGTTGAAATAATCCCCCACAACTAAAATATGGTTAAACTGGGGAAATATTCTATTTAATTTAACCTTTTTGGTGATTTGTCAGTTATACCCCTCTCACACAAACCCAATATCATTAACCACTTTAACTTATACTCGTTCAGTTATACCCCTCTCACACAAACCCAATCTCATTAACCACTTTAACTTATACTCGTTCAGCTCTACAAATTCGTTTAATAAAACCCTAACCCAAAGCCATTATCTACCTCATCTCCTCCAACATCTTTCCTAACGGCTCTCTTCAGCTCTAATCCAAAATTTGCATCGGGTGGATTCCTATTGGGGAAGACATTGGAGAAGATGCTAGAGGAGATGAAGTTGAAAATGAGTTTGGATTAGGGTTTTATGAAATGGAATTGGAGAGCTTAACAAGTATAAGTTAAAGTGGTTAATGGGATTGGGTTTGTGTGAGAGGGGTATCACTGGCAAATCACCAAAAAAGTTAAACCTAACAGAATAATTCGCTCATCTTAAATAGATTTTAATTTCGGGGGCTTATTTCAATATACTAATAGGATTTGGGGGTCCTGAGATTATCAAAGATTTGGGGGACTAAGATCAATTTCAAAGATTTGGGGGGCTACTAAGAAAATATTGAAGATTTGAGGGGCTAATATCAAAAGAACCCTTCAATTTGTGTTGCTTCTTAAACAGTTCTTTCTTTTGATAATGAGGCTATCTATGTCCTTTATTGAGATGAATGATAGTTCTTATAACATCCCTCAATTTTGGTTGGTTTAGCATCTAATTTATGATTTTCCTGTAATTGATAGTTATTTTTGCTATATGTTTTGTGCCAGTTAAGGCTGTGCTATTTCTTGAATAATTTTTTAGAATTAATATTTCCGACAAATATACCCTCGGACTGGAATAAGAATGCTTATTATTTGACAGGTTAAGCTGTTTTGATATTTAATTTATACTGCTTTAAGTGATTTTTTTTTTAATTTTAAAATAACTGGATTACTAGGTGATTGTTTTCTTCATGATATTCTTTCCTCCATTTGTTTTTATTCTTATTAGTGATATGTGGACATTCATTTCAAGAAAACATCAAATGTTTTCCCTTAGTACTTCACTATCCATTGTTATTGGCTGCTTGGTCATTTCAAGTAGCCTTGCAGCTGCCTTATTCTTTTTTAGTAAACTGCAGATAACTCCACTCATCACTCAATAGTACTTATCAGCTTCAACTCGTATATTAGCGCTCATCACTCTGGGGTACGAGTTGACGGGGTGATAAGTACTACTGAAGATATAAATGAGGGGTTATATGCAATTATTCTTTTTTTAAAAAAAATTGATGTGAATGAATATTTATTTGCCTTTACCCCTGTTGATTCCCTTTTCTATAACACCGGTATCAACAGTCCATTCAGAAGGTACTAGATAAGGTAAACCTTTTGATTTTGGGGGGAGTGAAGATAAAGGTAGAAATGAATTCGGCCAAAGTGAAGCGGCGTGTGGGTGATTATGAGCTAGGACGAACAATTGGAGAAGGGACATTTGCAAAGGTCAAGTTTGCTAGAAACGCCAAAACTGGTGAAGCCGTTGCCATCAAAATTCTTGATAAGGAGAAGGTTCTCAAGCACAAGCTAGTTGAACAGGTCTCCTTCTTACTCTTGTATAATCGAAGAAAAAGTCTCATTTGCACATTAATTTCTCTTCATATCTGCTATATTGTGCAAAATATGCCTTGTCTTTTCCTTTAGAAGTTTTTCCTAAGATGAATATTTGCATGTGTCTTCCTTTATCATTGAGAGATTTATGCTAAGGTGATCATTTATAATTCAATGCAGATCAAGCGGGAAATTGCAACCATGAAGTTAATAAAGCATCCCAATGTAGTTCGCCTGTATGAGGTAGTCCAAGAGTTTTCTTTTATTATGTCAGTTAATTGCCCGTGATTTTGTAACCTATGTTCTTCTAGTGAGCCGAAAAATGTGGCATGTGAATGTAACAAATAGAAGTGTAAGCTTAAAAGTTCCTACTTCCTCTTTATGTCCTCTGGTATTCGTGGAGCACTCCTCTCTGTTTGGAGATGCAGTTTGCAAACTTTCCAATTTTTGCATGAGTTGACATAAATCGAAGCATGTTCTTTTATGGATTATTCATTGTTTTCATTTTTTGTAGCATGTAAAATATGGACATATTTAGTTGTTGTTAGTTGTCTGATTTGTTTCAGAGTCATTTTCCAAAATTGTTAAAAGCTACAACTAACATATATGAACTCCATTCAAACTTGATATTATGTTTCGTGGATCTGGTTACTTTGAGCTTAAAACAAAAATACATGTTATCATGTTAGATATGCAAGCAACGGTACACTATGTACAAGCCAAAATTAATAGTTATCTGAAAATTTTCTCCGTAACCAGTTGCATGATTCTAGTTATCTGAATATTGTCTGCGTCAAATTTGTTCTCTAAAAGCAGAAATTGCGTGATTTTCTTCTCTGCAAATTTACACTGAGGTGCCAACTTTGGCTTCCTAGTGAGTACATATACTAAATGTAGCAACCACAAGCTTGATTACATCAATATGATACAGTAACTAAAGAGGCGAACTTTTAATTCTTAAGGAACCACCACATATCTTCAACCCTCATTCTCTATTCTCCTTCCAATATCATGAGAAGGCAACGTAGATGCATATAAGTGAGAGAAGAAAATTTTTGTGAGATTTTTTTTTTTTTTTTTACGAGATGTTCAACCTAGTTCAAGGTTTAGTGATGTCTTACGGTTATCCTGAAATGTTGATCTTGGTTCATTTTCAGACAATAAATCTGTCCAGTGTTTTGGGTGTTATGTTTAGGTGTTTATTCCTTCTGAAAAGAATATTTTTATGTCCTTTGCATTACGAGAATAAGAAGACAAAAGCACTCACCTGCTGATGAGATTTCCTATCATTTCATTTAAGATGGCTTTGCATTGTTTCACTGAATATGCCTTTATATGCTCAAGTATAAATTTAAAAAAAGCGGTCAAAATCATTTCATTTAAGATGGCTTTGCATTGTTTCACTGAATATGCCTTTATATGCTCAAGTATAAGTTTTAAAAAAAAAGCATCTCCCTTAAAATGCCCCGTTTTTATCTGAATATATGTACATGCATCCATATCTATTGTCAGTGCCAAAAAAACAGCTATTGGTGTTTACATTCATGACAAATGCCATAAGACCATTTTTAATACTGAGCTCATAAGGTGTAAAAGATATTTAAACTTAGCCGTAAATGCATTTAAAACCCAAATCATAGTTCTATTTGTCAGTATACTATTATCAACTAAAAATTTTATTTTCTCGTCAGGTAATGGGAAGCAAAACAAAGATATTTATCGTTCTTGAATTTGTAACTGGGGGAGAGCTCTTTGACAAAATTGTAAGTGTTAAAGTTTCTAACCTTCTGTTTATGTCAAAGGAAACTAGCAGGTATATGTGGACTGGTCTTTATTTAGTAGGTCATCCATTATTCATGACGGTTGCGAAATTTTGATCCTATAGGTTAATGATGGACGGATGAGGGAGAATGAAGCACGAAAATATTTCCAGCAACTAATTAATGCTGTTGATTATTGCCATAGTAGGGGCGTTTATCACCGTGACTTGAAGGTGAACCTTTCTATTGATGTAATCGCATAAAGATTTTTTTCAGCAGATTTAATGGTTTGGTTAAAATATCTTCACTTTGTTTCATGTATTTGCAGCCGGAAAACTTGCTCCTTGATCAGTTTGGGAACCTCAAAGTTTCTGATTTTGGATTAAGCGCATTGTCTCAACAAGTCAGGGTAAACAATAAATGCTCAAAGCCCTATATTCAAGCTATTAAAGCATTATTATGACATAATTGAGTATTGTTTTTATCCTTGCACTAGGTAACAACTTCTGGATGTGTATTTTTAAGAATTATTTTTCATCTCGCTTAACAATGTCGATAGTAGTTTCTAGTTCCTTGAAGAAGCCATGACTTTATTTCTTGTAATTTTGACAATGCATGTGAAGAACGAACTAAATTTGAAAACTTAAGAACACTAATTCCTTCAAATATATGCTATATCCATGGAGGAGAAATCCAAGATATTCTACTCAACAAGAGAAAATATTTTTTAAAATGAAATCCATCAGAAAGGATTAGCTATACTCTTTGATAGTTATAGAAGGGGTCTTCGTAAGAGTCGCAAATCTTCTCTCTCGGCCAAAATCTCTTGAGGGGATCGTTTCCATATCCCCTAGAAACATCCTTGCAAAACTAAAAGGACTGCAGGTATATGCTACTAAATATAAAGAGGAGATTTTTCATACCTAATTTTCATTAATTTTAAAATCGATGAACTACCAAATTGGTAAAGAAGTATTTCACAATGTTCTTTAGAACCCCCAACAAGTTACAGTGAGTTGATAAATATCAGTTTTGGCAAAAAATAAATATAGAGCCTTTCAAAGGTTACTAGTTTAAAACTATATATAACTGTTCATAAGAAACATGCAGTCCTTAAAAAGGAGCATGCATCATTTTTCAAATGAGTATAACATTCTCTGGGTTACCATTTTCAGAAGATAATATCTTTGTGATTGCTTTTGCTTTAACTAAAAGCACTTTAATTGAGCTAAGAGCACTTATCTAGGTAGATAAAATTTCTTTACAACCTTGTCATTCTCACTAATAAACTAGTGGCTTCTTGTTTAGAGATTTGAGGTTTTCTTAGTTTTATTTCCAGGTTCTGGTAGCTTAGGCAGTGTTATGTCAGTAGATTTGTGGGGATTGATGATAGAATCCATCTGATTTAACTGATCATATGATGAGATTGAATATTTTGTTTTAAGGCAGTCAATTTTGCCGTTATAATTTGAAGAGTTGTTTTCTGTAAACTAGTTGAACTTGAGGAGAATTGTGACCATCGAGCAATCGAAGAGTGAAAAGAACATTTTATCAGGTCATGTGGCGAACATTCCAGTAGCATTAGGATTCATCAATTGCAAAGATGAATGAACATGATTTCGTGATTTTTATTCCAATGTGTCAACAAACTTAGTAAATATCTATATGCAAATTTTTCATTTTGCCACTGTTCCAGAATCATGAGTACGTTTTGGAAGTGGAATTTCATCCATGATTTCATGAGCTGGGCTGTAAGATAAGATCCACCTACTAAACTAGTTTGAAATAGCTATAGTTAGATATGCTAAATCTTGCGAGTTGGTCCTCATTCCTTGTAGTCAATTTCTTTACCGGTCATCATATAGTTCTTTTCTTTATATTTTAGGATTTTGTTTGCATCCTGTATTTGATCTCTATTATTAGAAAATATTTCTAGATTTAATTATTTTATATATGGTAATCTAAAATATGATATTTTTGTAGCCTACCAGTTGTCATAATTTAATTTTAAAGTTTGAAATTCTAATTGAGTTCTCATCCAGGAAGATGGATTACTTCACACATCCTGTGGAACTCCAAACTATGTTGCTCCTGAGGTACTAATTCATCTGTAGAATTACATTATGGGCAGTAATGCTTATTTCGTCCATGCACTTCTCTTTTAAAATTTGCCTTCAGTCAGTTTCTTGTTTTTTATGGTTAGGTCCTCAATGATGAAGGCTATCATGGAGCAACTGCAGACATATGGTCATGTGGGGTCATTCTCTTTGTACTGCTTGCCGGGTATTTGCCTTTTGAGGATGATAACCTTATGATCTTGTATAATAAAGTGAGCAATTAGACCACATTTAGGGTTAGATTTCGTATATTGTTCTCATTTGTTCTGAAGATGTCCTCTTTCTGTTGCAGATCTGTGCTGCTGATTTTACGTTTCCATCTTGGCTTACTTTTGGTGCAAAGAGACTGATAACGAGGATCCTTGACCCAAATCCCATGACGGTGAGTTGCATTTCGTAATTAGTTGGAAGAAGCATTTATCATTACCAATTCTTTAAAGAGTACACAATAAAGCTTTGCACTGTTCTGCTTCTCACGAGGTCCGAAGTGTCAATTGATACTGATGTATAAGTACGTCTGCATTATGTGTGTATGTGTATGCTCATGCCCGCACATCATAGTGGATTTTAAGTATGTCAGTCCAGTTTAATTGAAATGGATCGATACTGCTTATACTGAGTAATAGCAACTAATACAGACCATTATGACTAATGAAGAAAAAAATCTGAGATTTGATGTATAAAAAAGTTGATTTGATAATGTTACAATAGGTAAATATAAAAGGAATTTAGTGACCTATATCATATAGCTATTCTTTTGATCCAAAACTACAGAAACCGTTGACACTCAATATACATTAAAAATATCTTTATGCCAACATTCTATAATTAGCACTTCTCAATCAACTTCATCAAAATAGGACAATTTTATATTTCTTTGTGTGTGTAAAGTTCTGAAATAAACATCAGAGGTATTTTTGAACTATATTGGCATGAAATAGTACGTCTTTTGAGCCATTAAACCAACACGTGCAACTTCTGTCTACATTATATTTTTGAAATTGATGTTAGCTTTCTGTTTCTAATCCAGCGGATTACGATGTCTGAGATACTGGAGGATGAATGGTTCAAGAAAGGGTATAAGCCCCCTGTTTTTGAGGAGAAATATGAAGCAAATTTGGATGATGTGGAATCGGTCTTCAAGGACTCAGAAGTGAGTCTAAAGGAAGTCTCAATTCTAGTTAAAAGTTTCTTTCCAAAAATTCTAGTTAAAAGTTTCTTTCCAAAAATTCTAGTTGAAAGTTATAGTGTTGTTTCTATAGTTAAAAGTTTCTTTCCAAAAATTCTAGTTAAAAGTTTCTTTCCAAAAATTCTAGTTAAAAGTTTCTTTCCAAAAATTCTAGTTAAAAGTTTCTTTCCAAAAATTCTAGTTGAAAGTTATAGTGTTGTTTCTA